AGAGAAGACCTGATTGCAACTCTAGCAATTAATAAAATGCTACTACTATTGCTATAAACAATAATAGTAATAACAACTGAATTATAACATTATGGTTTAAAAGCACACAAAAACACTTTTCAGATGGATGAAAATGTAGTGAATCTGGTTGGTAGACCTTCCTATTTATTGTAATTTATCTTAATTTGCCCAACAGCCAGAGTTTTTAAAGAACCTCATAAGCTCAGCAGTAACTCATCAACATCCTCAAAAAGGACAATTAAAGTCTATTACAACTTGCCAATTAGTAGTAATGGAAATCAATACTGATATCTCCTGACACCTTGAATAATTCTTGCTATGACTCCTTGCAGACAATAACAAGTTGCTAGTAGTTTAAAAAAAAACAAAAAACTGTTGGCTAAGAAGCTAAGAATAATGATATAATGATATCTGTTTCCAGTTTGGCTTTTTTGGAAGTCACATGATAGTAGTCCCCAGCCCATGTGAGTGAATCCAAAGGCTTTTTTTAACAGCAGGGCAATTATTGCGCTCAACAGAAGAAGCAAGAGTTTCATAAAAAGCACAGTGGGCAGCATTGTAAAATGAAAAAAAAATAACGTCCGTCTGTACTAATAAGCTTATAAAGAAAGAAAGAAAGAAAAAGAAAAAGAACTGCAAAAGAACAAAGGTGGCAAATGTAAGACCACATATTTATTTTGCTTGGCTGGATGATAAATCAGTAGAAGAAGAACAATGAGAGCGTAATAAAAAGGGGAAGCCATTGCATGTGGAAAACCATATCTAGATGTGCTTGTTGACTATAACTCCAAGAGCTGAGAAATGGTACAACTTCAAGTTATAGGCTTATAAGGCTTATACACAGAGGTCATTTCAGTTACAATTCTTTATGAAATGACAAAAAATCGTGGATGTTCAGATCTGTAGAGGTTAACAAAGTTGAAATGAACAGTCAGTAGTAGATCACCTTTCTTAAGACCTCCAAAGCAAACTTTATTTGGAACTTGTAAAGCATGTTCTACATCCTTAACACTTTTACCTGCCACACTTATGAAGTGTCCTGAACCAAAGAGATTGAGCAGCATAGACAGGCTTACAGATGGGAAGAAGGCACTGTCTCCAGTGCCGTCATTTCAAAAGGCGTGAATGCATTATCCAACCGTTACTCTGCACTGGAGGAGAAAATCTCCATGAACACCAAGGCTATTACCAACATATGTGAAGAGTTGAAAGGAGTGGAGATCAAAGTCAGCAAAAAAAAAAAGAAGAAGAAGAAGAAGAAAATGTCAGAAAAAAAGAAGAAGCAGCCTCATGCCAGGCTACAGAGTGATGATGATGCAGTAGGATACAGTAAGAAATGGCACTTTCAGCTATATGGCATCTGAGACTCGCAATGTAGATGTATGGACTGTAAGTTTTTGAACACTTCTTCTTCTTCTTTTGAGATTGCTGCAAAAAGGGCAAAGGGAATTTCAGGGTTCATGTAACAAAACATCCATCTATGAACACGGTCTGAAATTCACATGTTTAGAATAAATTGCAGTTGGTGGTTTGCGAATTTTAATAAAGGGCCTGAAAGCTTCAGTGAAAAATGGTCAGCTGGTGTTTCTTTTGCTGATTGCTCTGCTCTCTTGGTTTTCATCAGTTATGGACAATACAGCTTCACACAGGGCAATTATGGCATTTATTAGCTTTGC